ATGCAAAAGAGGAATTATGATCCGTGGTCCGATCACCACTTCCAGTTTAGGGTTTGGCGTTGTAAAGAAGAAGAAGAAGAAGAAGAAGAAGAAGAAGAAAATTATTTCATTTTGGTGTCACATATTGTACATGTCACATATATATAGTTCATTAAAATATTCATTGTTAAAAAAATATATAATATCCGGCCAAAGGGCCTATGAGACACCCAGCTCAATAATAATAATAACAATAACAATAATAATAATAATAATAATAATAATAATAATAATAATAATAATATTGAGCTGGGTGTCTCATAGGCCCATTGGCCGGATATTATATTTTTTATTTTGTGTGCATAATAATATTGTAATATATCACAATCTTGCCACATTGTGGCCAAAAGCCACCACACACATGCGTATATTAATATAGATGCACAAAGTCAGTCACACACTAAACATATAAAATCTACCTCTCCTCCATCCATTCACATCATAGGCGCATCTGCCATCCGTCCACTTAAAGTGAGGGAAAAAATAAGAGTGAGTGAGTGAGTGAGTGAGTGAGTGAGTGAGTTGGGTTTAACGCCGCTTTTAACAGTATTCCAGTTATATCGTGGCGTGTAAGCTTTATGTGGGAGGAAATCCTGAAGTGCTGCAAGTCTCAGACGTTTACCACTTCGGTGAAACCCACGAGCACGGGTATGGTGCTGATAAACCTAGAAACATAATCGGGGCGAACCGGGATTCGAACCCACAATCATAGGTTTCTGGCATGCCCAAGGGACGCAACTCTGCACAGCGAATCGCGGCGCCTTAGACGACTGGGCCACCCGTGCCCCCGGAAAAAATAAGAGACCCTTCAGTTTCGTAATGCATACAAACCGCAACCATCTATCATACCAAGCAGCGTTTACAATGGATACGAAAGGTATTAGTGACGAAGGCATTTCTTTTAATTGAAGTACAGTAAACTACGGTTATAACGAACTCAAAGGGACCACTAACTTTAGTTCGTTATAACCGTAGTTCGTTATAAGCATATATACAGTATAACAATAGCAAATACTCGGGACAAAAAATCAGTTCGTTATATCCGTCAGTTCGTTATAAAGCGTGTTCGTTATAAACGTACTTTACTGCATGTCATAAACCGAAGCCCTCTGAGCCATAACAACACGAGTTATCAGAAGTTCGAAACAAGCGGAGTGCCGATATAACACCAAAGTTGTGTAGCGGATTGTCATTGGACAAGTCATAAGTACGCTGTCTGCAGTTGCTTCCTAATAAACACGGACTGAATTATTTTCATAGGTGAGTTTCGATTAATATTTGATAAGTAAACAGGTGTGAAGATCAACGAGTTGTTAAATCAAATCTCAGGCGCATCAGTAAATTTTTATCTGAATTTGATTCGCGAGCTTGAAACCATTTTGGCACAGAAAGGTGGCATTGGAATGTCAAGGGTGGAAACAAGGCTTTGAAATAGGCTACGGACACTATGGCCTCGGGAAGATGATATTTACCTATTTGCGAACACCTGGTGTCACTTGCACAAAGCGATCTTAGCGCTACAACTATTGTAAGCCTATGTTAAAGTATGGGAGTTACGATCATCTTAGCGCTAAGATCGCTTTGTGCAAGTGGGCCCTGGTGTCATCACTAATTGTCAGTGATTCATTTATATAACTTCCACTACTATTTTGCCTTTTACGCCACATGGAATGTGTTTCTTATGATAACCAGGACTAAATATTCTCTTGGGGTGATATTTAATATTTATCAAATATGATGGAGCTGAACTGTATTTAATTACAGTGCGACCGCCTCCGTGGTCTAGTGGTAGAGCGTCCGCCCGGAGAGCGGAAGGTCCGGGGTTCGATCCCTGACCGCGTCATACCATTTATATTTTTTTTATAAACTAAAAGACGTTAAAAGATGGTACTTGTTGTTACCCTGTCTGGCGCTCGGCATTAAGGGACTAAAACAAGGACTGGTCGGCTCGGAGTCAGTATACTGTGTCTGAGTGGGATATTCATGTTAAACTGCGGCATGGTATCTCAGTGAGCTTGCACTATAAATCGGCATCGGTCCGGACTAGTACAAACAGCCACACAAACACACACACGTACATGCACGTCGCTATATAAGTGCAATTATCTTGGACGCGACGTTAAACCCCATTTCACCTCACCACCTAATTACAGTGCAATTGATCGCAAGACCTTCTAATTAAAGGCTTAAAAAAGGAAGTAAATTAATATATTCAACGGTTGTTACACTCGCCAACTACTTAGTGCTTTTAGATTTTTTTTAATCGCCGTTATGAGGTTTCACTGGCATTTGATCACTCGCAACTTTAAGCGTTGATTTCACGAAACTCCAACTTGACCTGCTGTCGGATACAGTGGATTGCGAAAAACTTTAAAACGAGGTTTTACTCTGCCGTCGTATGGCCTAACACGACACACGGTGATTGTGGCCACTCCTGTATATTTCAAAGGCTAAACACATAATAGTTCGAATGGAATGTATATTCAATAGAATTGCCATGACAAAGCCAGTCCTTGAGATATTGCATGACGTGTGAACAGCAGAGGCGAACTCCTTAAGCGCGATTCGTATCTACGACTTTCTAACTATACAAGGTGAAACTGGTAGTGTGATTTAATCAGTTGAACGATCAACACAATACCCATTTGCGTGAATGAATAGTATTTAGCACCATATAAAATAACGTCCTTTAATTCAACCGCACAGCCCTATTTTAAAGGGAGGGTACCGTCGGCTCAAATGACAGCCCCAGCTGATTTGAATCAAGCCAATCAGGAACTGTTTATCCATCGACACAAATTTAATGATGTATTTTAATCTAGCGTTTCATGACTACCCTAATTTCAAAGAAATAATGTTTCAGTTACACACGTAACTAAAAACAGCGTGTAGACCTAAACTAAATTGCACATCAGATCGTGGAACACATATACACCGTTCAGTCGGATCTTGCAGGGCTTCGAATAAGATAACATGCTTAAACGGCTTAACGCGATTTAAACTGGGCCTCATTTTCCCCAATGGATTTGCATATACAGTAAAGTACGTTTATATCGAACACGCTTATACCGAACAGACGGATGTAACGAACTGATTTTTTGTCCCGACTATTTGCTATTGTTATGCTGTATATATGCTTATAACGAACTACGGTTATAACGAACTAAAGTTAGTGGCCCCTTTGAGTTCGTTATAACCGTAGCTTACTGTACGTGGATATAAGGGCTGGGACGAGCCCTAATTTACCATCCGGGTACCCACCCCCCTATTACCCGACCCTACCCGGGTACCCACTGTAGGTGTCAGGAGATGTCTCAAAATGTCCGATTGGAAACATTTTTAGTATAGCCCTGGCAAAACGTATTTAGATATATGTATTAAACAATTTGGTCATTCATACACTGAAGTTAAATTAAGTTATATGTTTATAAACCATATGAAAAATCAGAAGGAATGGGTGCATAGCCAGAAAGAAATGCGAACATTGTTGTGTAACCATAGAGTTCTAGATACTTTTTGTCTTTCAACAATATATCATTTGACTAACCACGGGCCCGGGTAGTCCTATGGGTACCCGGGTCCTACTCAGTACCCACCCGACCCGGGTACCCGAGTTACCCGTCCCAGCCCTAGTGGATATCCCAGGATGTTGGACATTAAACTAAGTATGTCTTTAATGTTTAAGCAGCGATGTAAAGATCGCTGTATTGCCATGACTGGTCAGCTGATATCAGATGTATTAAATCGACACGTGGCCACTCCATGTTATACCCGTGTGTAATACCAGACACTTATTCAACAACTATTCATCTACAGTCAAGTCCCGTTAATCCGACATCGATGGTTGCATATGATTATGTCGGATTAACGAGTATGTCGGATAAACGAAATTTAGTAGTATCAACGTTCGTGATCGAAAATCGTTGCAAATTACGTGTGTCGGAGTCGGGAGTGCGAGATTGTCGGATTAATGGGTCTAAATAGCACTGATTTAATCGGTTCCCATAATTAGTGTCGGATAAAGCCGAGTGTCGGATTAACGAATGTCGGATTAACGAGACTTGACTGTATATGTTTACGCAGAAGCTAAACGAAGTTCAGTTGTTGTAAACATACCCTTATATATAATACATGTATCCCTTAATATACAGTTATACAGACATTCAAAAGATAATGATGTTTTAACATCGGTATGTCTTTCCTGGTAATATTACCAAGAAGATAAATACCATGTGTTATTGATATGTCCAGTATATGAAGACATAAGAATCAAATACCTGCCTAGCTTATTATACGTATAAAAAACCCAAAGCAAATGTGTACAGTTAATGAACAGCAAAAATAGCCACGTTTTTCTCAGTTTTTCAGTTTTTGTCAATATGATATTTGAAAGAAGATGATACACTGGATATTAAAATAACTTAAATGTGTAATCTATTCAGATCTAATATAGAAGTTGTTCTCTGTGACAAATATTCCTTTTGCAAAATGGCATCGTACTATTGGCATCATAGCCAATTATAGGAACTAAATCTGTCTGTAGTCAGACGTTACCTGAAACAACACAGAAGTAGAATTATAGAAAGAAGTCTACTCATCGGTTTACATAAGCCACTAGTCTGGATCCAAGGGAAGAGGGAAGGGAATATTGAATACCCAAGTTACGTATCAGTACGCAGTCTCACTGACAACATGTGAGAAAAATACTCAATGGCTACAAAACAGCTGGAAACCTGATCTTACGACATGGGTGCTGGAACCTTCTCATACATTCTTAATGACTAGTTTTTCAGTAGTCGATTTATCTTGAACCTATTCTATCATACCCACTGTTTTATCACGTCCGTTTTATCATGCTCCCGTATTTCATCTTGATCCTGCTGCTTCATCTTGATCCTGCTGCTTCATCTTGATCCTGCTGCTTTATCTTGATCCTGCTGCTTTATCTTGATCCTGCTGCTTTATCTTGATCCTGCTGCTTTATCTTGATCCTGGTCCTGTGTTTCATCTTGGTCCCGGTCCTGTGTTTCATCTTGATCCTGGTCCTGTGTTTCATCTTGATCCTGGTCCTGTGTTTCATCTTGGTCCCGGTCCTGTGTTTCATCTTGATCACGGTCCTGTGTTTCATCTTGATCACGGTCCTGTGTTTCATCTTGGTCCCGGTCCTGTGTTTCATCTTGATCCTGGTCCTGTGTTTCATCTTGATCCTGGTCCTGTGTTTCATCTTGGTCCCGGTCCTGTGCTTCATCTTGATCCTGGTCCTGTGTTTCATCTTGATCCTGGTCCTGTGTTTCATCTTGATCCTGGTCCTGTGTTTCATCTTGGTCCCGGTCCTGTGCTTCATCTTGATCCTGGTCCTGTGTTTCATCTTGGTCCCGGTCCTGTGCTTCATCTTGATCCTGGTCCTGTGTTTGATCTTGATCCTGGTCCTGTGTTTCATCTTGATCCTGGTCCTGTGTTTCATCTTGATCCTGGTCCTGTGTTTCATCTTGATCCTGGTCCTGTGTTTCATCTTGATCCTGGTCCTGTGTTTGATCTTGATCCTGGTCCTGTGTTTGATCTTGATCCTGGTCCTGTGTTTGATCTTGATCCTGGTCCTGTGTTTGATCTTGATCCTGGTCCTGTGTTTGATCTTGATCCTGGTCCTGTGCTTCATCTTGATCCTGGTCCTGTGTTTCATCTTGATCACGGTCCTGTGTTTCATCTTGATCCTGGTCCTGTGTTTCATCTTGATCCTGGTCCTGTGTTTCATCTTGATCCTGGTCCTGTGTTTCATCTTGATCCTGTTTCTGTGTTTCATCTTGATCCTGGTCCTGTGTTTCATCTTGATCACGGTCCTGTGTTTCATCTTGATCCTGGTCCTGTGTTTGATCTTGATCCTGGTCCTGTGTTTCATCTTGATCCTGGTCCTGTGTTTCATCTTGATCCTGGTCCTGTGTTTGATCTTGATCCTGGTCCTGTGTTTGATCTTGATCCTGGTCCTGTGTTTGATCTTGATCCTGGTCCTGTGTTTGATCTTGATCCTGGTCCTGTGTTTCATCTTGATCCTGGTCCTGTGTTTCATCTTGATCCTGGTCCTGTGTTTCATCTTGGTCCTGGTCCTGTGTTTCATCTTGATCACGGTCCTGTGTTTCATCTTGATCCTAGTCCTGTGTTTCATCTTGATCACGGTCCTGTGTTTCATCTTGGTCCTGGTCCTGTGTTTCATCTTGATCACATTCCTGTGTTTCATCTTGATCCTGGTCCTGTGTTTCATCTTGATCACGGTCCTGTGTTTCATCTTGGTCCTGGTCCTGTGTTTCATCTTGATCACGGTCCTGTGTTTCATCTTGATCCTGGTCCTGTGTTTCATCTTGGTCACGGTCCTGTGTTTCATCTTGATCCTGGTCCTGTGCTTCATCTTGATCCTGGTCCTGTGTTTGATCTTGATCCTGGTCCTGTGTTTCATCTTGATCCTGGTCCTGTGTTTCATCTTGATCCTGGTCCTGTGTTTCATCTTGATCCTGGTCCTGTGTTTCATCTTGATCCTGGTCCTGTGTTTCATCTTGATCCTGGTCCTGTGTTTCATCTTGATCCTGGTCCTGTGTTTCATCTTGATCCTGGTCCTGTGTTTCATCTTGATCACGGTCCTGTGTTTCATCTTGTCCCTGCAACTGTTTCATCTTGATCCTGATCCTGTGTTTCATCTTGATCCTGTTCCCGTGTTTCATCTTAATCCTTCTCCTGTGTTGAGGCTTAAGCCGCTCCTGTTTCATCTTGATCCTGGTCCTGTGTTTCATCTTGATCACACCCTTGTGTTTCATCTTGATCCAGCTCTTGCGACGTCAAACAACAAACAAACACGCGGTTCTTAGTTTAAGGAAAAATCGCCAACCAAAGAATGCTTGCCACGAAATGTATGGTCACGCTCTGCTTAGTGTGGATGCGTGTAATTAAAGATATGGAGGACAGTAGTCGAATTTCAACTGTTTACTGTGAAGTCATGTTATGTTATTAATCAGTTCTGGCTTGGCCTCTCGAGTGTCTGGGTATACAATCAAGTCTTTACGAAAATCAACCCCTTTTGATTGATTTGATAATTTAATTACGAAACAAAAGGCTATATTTTTTAGCAAACTCCCAAATATTTTTAAGATCCAATACAAACAGTAACATATGGAGATTGTAAAATATCCTTAAAAAATCCCCACAAAACAACCCCTCCCCCACCCTAAAAAAACCAACCAAATAGACAAAAAGAACAAACCCAAAGAAAGCCTCGCCCCCACCACCTCCTTCAAAATAAATCTGGGGCGGTCGGGTAGCCTAGTGGTTAAGGCGTTCGCTCGTCACGCCGAAGACCCGGGTTCGATTCCCGACATGGGTACAATGTGTGAAGCCCATTTCTGGTGTCCCCCGCCGTGATCTTGTTGGAATATTGCTAAAAGTGGCGTAAAACCATACTCTCTCACTCAAAATATATCTGTCGCTATCAGTGCTAACCCGGGACAGTATAATCTAAGTAGAGTGACAGGCAATAGCAAGCACACACGGCGGTGAAACGTGAATGATTACCGCTACCTGATCTAAATGTACCCCCCAAGAATACCTTGTAAATGTGTTTATTGTAAAGATAAAGATCAAGATCTTCTCGATCAGCGATGCTCGTGGTGAGCGATATAGGACCTATGGCCATCTTGTTATTTATGATCGACTTTGTGTGAATATAAACAACGCGCCTTAATATAAACAATTGATTTTTAATACTGTAATTCCCGACATGTGTACAATGTGTGAAGCTCATTTCTGGTGTCCCCCGCCGTGATATTGCTGGAATATTGCTAAAAGCGGCGTAAAACCATACTCACTCGCTCACTTTAATACTGTAAAGACGAAGCAGCTCTACATGTTTGCCGTCATACCATCTTGGCATGTGTTTTATGTAATACATTAATAATAACTTGTAAAATACGCTCTTATACCACAGTGGGTGGTTCTTATGAGAATGAAGTTTGATTGACTGAAGGAAACCGTTTCTCAAACTAAGTGAACACAATAATCGCCTTATTCTCTTTTAAAACATGATTCTTCTACCTAAACTCACAGAATGAGACTTAGGCAAGGTCAGGTGAACAACTATTATTATTGCACTTATATAGCGACGTACATGCACGTGTGTGTGTGTGTGTGTGGCTGCTTGTACTAGTCCGGACTGATGCCGATTTATAGTGCTAGCCCACTGAGATACCATTCCGCAGTTTAACATGGATACCCCACTCAGACACAGTATACTGACTCCGAGCCAGTCCTTGTTTTAGACGGGCGGTCGGGTAGCCTAGTGGTTAAAGCGTTCGCTCGTCACGCCAAAGACCCGGGCTCGATTCCCGACATGGGTACAATGTGTGAAGCCCATTTCTGGTGTCCCCCGCCGTGATATTGCTGGAATATTGCTAAAAAGCGGCGTAAAACCATACTCACTCACTCACTGTTTTAGACCCTTAATGCCGAGCGCCAGACAGGGTAACAACAAATACCATCTTTTAACGTCTTTTGGTATGACGCGGCCGGGCGGACGCTCTACCACTACACCACGGAGGCGGTCGTATTATGCCGAAGGGGATTGCTAATAAGGATAAGTATTGATGTGTTAAAATATTTGTTGAAATTGTTGAATGTATTTGGTGTAAAAAAGGTTATAAATATTTTCTGATAGGAGATAAAGCATACACTATTACAATATATGCAGAGATTGGACGCCAGTCACCCCACATTCGCTATTGTCTTTCACCCCAAGCAAGTATTAAGTAGGTGTTTAGTAGTTATCAGTCACGGCTAGCTGCGTCTATTCCACTGATAGGGAAGGAATGCACTCAGTGTTCAGCGATCAGGATAAAACTTACAAAGTAGGTCGGCCTCGTGAATCTCCAGGTACCTAGTTCAGATTGTGTGAGACCGCCTCCGTGGTCTAGTGGTAGAGCGTCCGCCCGGAGAGCGGAAGGTCCGGGGTTCGATCCCCTGCCGCGTCATACCAAAAGACGTTAAAAGATGGTACTTGTTGTTACCCTGTCTGGCGCTCGGCATTAAGGGGCTAAAACAAGGACTGGAGTCAGTATACTGTGTCTGAGTGGGGTATTCATGTTAAACTGCGGCATGGTATCTCAGTGAGCTAGCACTATAATTTATAAATCGGCATCAGTAAGGACTAGTACAAGCAGCCACACAAACACCCACACGTACATGCACGTCGCTATATAAGTGCAATAATCTTGTACGCGACGTTAAACCCAATTTCACCTCACCTCAGATTGTGTGAATAATAGCAATTGAGGATTACTATAGGGGCTCATTTCGATATGATTGGACTTTTTTTCAATATTGCCTTTAGAGTTTATTTAAAAGTAAAATAAACCGTAAAATCTCAATCAATAGTACAGTAAACTACGTTTATAACGAACACGCTTATAACGAACTGACCGATATAACGAACTTATTTTTTAGTCCCGGCCATTTGTTGTATATATGCTGTATATATGCTGTATATATGCTTATAACGAACTACGGTTATTACGAACTAAATTTAGTGGTCCCTTTGAGTTCGTTATAACCGTAGTTTACTGTATTACAAATTGTAAAGCATACAACAACATTAAAGCCAATGCAGAAAAAAAACATATTTATTTGGTACAAAGCACATCATACGTTTTTCGTTACACTACAAGTGTATTTGAAGTGCCTCGCGTGTTATTTATTTAGAAGAAAGAAGAAAGCAGTTTATTTCTGTCTCACTTGTTTTACATGGACATATACCACAGTGGATTTATCCTCATTACGTGGGGCGGTCGGGTAGCCTAGTGGTTAAAGCGATCGCTCGTCACGCCGAAGACCCGGGTTCGATTCCCGACATGGGTACAATGTGTGAAGCCCATTTCTGGTGTCCCCCGCCATGATATTGCTGGAATATTGCTAAAAGCGGCGTAAAACCAAACTCACTCACTCCTCATTACGTAACATATAAAACAACCAATCGCTCAGCGATTTATGAGAGACATTAGTTGTAAAATTCAAAATGTGCTAAAATGTACATACATTTATCATATAATGGGTAGGTTTCTCGGCAGGATAAAGCCAACGGATAAAAACGATATCCGTTGGGGTCATATGCGGATAGAGATGCAAATATCAAAGGGTCAAGTAGGGACTACTTTCACTGTTTATAAACAAACATGGCGTCGCCCTCGTCATTCGGCGATCGAGTCAGAATTAACCATCGGGAATCTGGATAAACTACAGGGATAAATGCTATCATCATCAAAAGAACAGTCTAATATACTGAAAATCATAGTCTAAATGTGACGTAGCTAAGGCATTTTATAAGTTTTGGCAACTTTGGCGATATAAATTTCGAAACAATTTTACGAGGGCACGAGGCCTAGCCAAGCGGGATCAGCAGCCATATCTGTGCTTGTAGACCTCTGCGGTCTATATGCGGTTGGAACTATATTGGCTACTGTCACTGTCCGACTGACACATCACTTACCCTGTGACGTAATAAATATTAATGCGCGCATTCCAGGAAAACTCGCAATGTTTCGGTAATGTTTGTGAGAGAGGGAAAGCGATTTTGAAGCACAGAATTAAAGAATGACATTATATGATAAAGAGGTTATCACGCTTGTGTGTTTGGGGATGGTAAATATCCTTTATTAGGAATAAACACTATGTATTTAGCTCGCCAAGGCTGGCTAAATACAATGTTTATTCCTAATGCAGGATATTTACCATCCCCAAACACACTCGCGTGATAACCTCTATGCATATACAAATAGGAAAGTCAGCCGAGTTTAACAGAATAAAAGGCCTACGCGTTTAGTTAAAATGTCATGGCAGGTTCTAGCAGTGTGAAAGATAAGATCAGGGTGGGATAAAATAGATTAAAAATTACTCTATTTGTTAAAATGTCAAAATCTGACCACATATGTGTATTTATACATTAGAAATCAACGATGACACGTAAACATGTACTTTGGGCTAGAGGCCTTGAATACTGTTCAAATTCAGCAAAGATGAGTGAGTGAGTGATTTGGGTTTAACGCCGCTTTTAACAGTACTCCTGTTATAACACGGCGTGTCAAATTAATGTGGGAGGAAAGCCCGAAGTGATGCAGGTCTCAGACGTTTACCACTTCGGTGAAATCCACGAGCCACGGTATGGTGATGACAAACCTAGAAACCTAATTGGGGCGAACCGGGACTCGAACCCACAATCATAGATTTCTGGCGTGCCCAAGGGACGCAACTCGACGCGCCTTAGACGAATGGACCACCCGTGCCCCCAGCAAAGATGAAGACAGCAAGATACCTTGTCCGAAAATGCCATCAGTGAAATTCTGTCAGTCAGGAGTTTCTCCTTCAGCTGCTTGAATCTGGTCTCAAGCTGTCTGTACTTACCCTCTAGGGGTCTCAGGGAGGTCGGGTAGCCTAGTGGTTATAGCGTTCGCTCGTCACGCCAAAGACCCGGGGTCGATTCCCGACATGGGTACAATGTGTGAAGCCCATTTCTGGTGTCCCCCGCCGTGATATTGCTGGAATATTGCTAAAATCGTCGTAAAACCATACTCACTCGCTCGCTCGCTCACTCACTCACTCACTCACTCACTCACTCACTCTAGCCCTGTATTGGAGTAGTAATATCGGGTTGTTCTGCTCTGACCTCAGAAAGTTGGCGAGTGGGTCTTAGCAACTAGCTTGTTAAGGCGACCGTGCCATCTCTCCAGGTGATTGTCCGTATCGTGGTGGTTCCACTCATGTGGCTGGAGATGCCTTG